CCATTTTATTTTATTTTCCACTTCCTCCCTAACCCTGTACGTTTATTTGAACATATACTCCCCGCTTTTTTGTTTTTGGTCCGAATGCATGTTATTTTTAAAATTAATTAGCAACACTTTCCTTTTAGTCTAGCCTACCATTTTATTCCGGCCTACTCGTTTATTCCTATCTCCCTATGTATTCTAGCCAGCCCTTTTATTCCGGCCTACCCGTTTATTTGGTTTTCTTCTATATGTAATTGTTTTTAACTACGTTAGCAATAAATGTCATCGTAACCAGTTTTCAAGAAATTTTAAAGCCAATCAAAGCAATTGTTCTACGTTATGAAATGTTATAATACAAGAATATTCACGTACTATATAAGTCCGGTTATTCAAAGATAGTGGAGCCTTTCTCTCCAAGTTATATGCGATAGGATGTACTGGGTTGCATAGTACCAGCAAGTAGAGAGTAATCTCTGGTTTACCCCCCTTTTTTATACAATACTTCTCCCATAGCAAGGCACAAGAGTAACTCAAGTTAGAGAGTTACTGAATGAAATTGTTGTAAAAGCATGAACGAAGGTAGAAAGTGTATATTATGAGAATATGTAGGGTAGATAACGGTTGACTTTAGATTTGGTGAGGTGAAGAGCGTAGAGGTCGGAAAAAATAGTGGTCGGAAAAGCCTTCCTTTCGGCATATCATAGGATAACAGTTCTGTGAAATAATCAGTTTGAGTGGAACTTCCTCGTTGCCAAGGGAATACATACGAAGCGAATGAGTTGACGCCATGTACGTGGTATGGTAAGTCCTAGCAGCGATGGTCTGGATTGGTGGAACTAAGAATTGTAGTACGTCTGAACATCAGCTAATTAACCGTAGAGTAGTGAGAGGTTAGCAAGGTTTCTACTTACTAGTTTCGCTTTGGAAGTATTGGATTTTACAAGTCAGTTCTTCCGTCATTAATGATGGATACGTATATACGAGTTCAACTAATAGACTTTCAAGGCAAGCATTCTCATTGAGAGTAAAGTGTTTGCCTGCTAAGAGAGATGGATTTGTGTCCTTTCAAAAGACATTTGTGCCTCGTAAACATGAACTACTTGAACGGAAATTTGGATTCGTCCTGATAATTGATTTTCCGTTCAGCGTTGGCTTACGTGTATTAAATAAACCAAATGATGTTTCCTTTCATTAAACCATATTTGAAAGCCTTTCTTTAAAGCGGGATTTCTTGAAGACATAGGCGATCATGGCTCTCCAAGGGTTCTTTTTCTTTATTATCTGTGAAATACCGTGCATTCTTAGAAAAGACGGTGGATTGATTTCGCGTTGACTTCTCCGCGGATTGGTCTTAGAATTGTCTTAGACTGGTAGCAATCACATGTCTAATCAATTACGGCTGAATAGTGATTTCGATACTCATTGGTACCCTATACTTTTGGCTTTGTGACACATCTAAGCTACCATTAGAAAATCATCATACTTTTCCAAGTGTTTATGCGAAATGGGACGCAACAAACTAATTCATAATTTGAATTTGGCTCGCCGATCGCATATCTTATATTTGAAGGTACTCAAATTAAGTACTTTTTTTTAATTTATTCTAGATTATTGGTAAATTAAGAAAAACTGAACGGGGCATGGCCGTTGGGTGCTGCACTGTATTCATATCATGGACCATATATTGGGTAGCAATAGCCTGAAGAATCCCATCTCTTTCTAGCTACGATATGGGACAATATATAGACTATGACAACTTCAACATTCTTTTGTTAGTGATGTGGTATCCCTAGATAGTAGATTATAGGAAATCAATCCGATATCTATCTATCTATCTTTTTTCTACTCAATAAAATCCCATCAGATATATATTTGATAAACAAACATTACGATGGCAAATACCGCCAACATACTTGCGGACGTAGTTGTAAACCTACCACGTGCTAGTTTTGGACGATTTAGAAAATAACAATAATAACGCATTTCACCACTCCCGCAAATTTGAGAAAAAAGATTTTCGCGATCCAGTGTGACATTATTTTCTAACTAATTAAAACCTTGTATTCATAAAGTTCACTCCTCTATGTAGAATTAGATTTCGGATCCCTATTACGGATATAAAAATAGAAGCCTACTGCTTCTCGGGGTTCAAAACAATTTTGGAGTCCTGTTTGTTCTACGAACTCACGGACACACAGGCTGACCGCCATAAATATAAGTCTGTCCATTATCTCCGCATAGCGCTAAAAAGAGTTAATCACTGTATAAAACAAACTTCACGGCAAGGAAAGTTACACATTTTATTGTTTTTGTATATTGCTGAAAAGAAAATATAAATGTATCATGTGACGGTCTGATTCGGCTTTTCTTTCAGCGAATAACCTTTGTTTTATAAATGTTTCATTTAAAAGGTGTGTTGTTGTTAAATATTTGGACTACTTTACACAAATAGCAACAAAAACCTGGATAGACAAATGCCAACAAGTTTTTTTTTTTACTGAGTGTAGGTGCCAGCACAAAGATCTATTTGAACTGCTAGGAAAACTCGATCTATTTGGAAAAGGATTGGAAAACAATCCTGCACTTATACCGGGGGCAAACCACCTGCATACGGATAGAAAAAGAATTAAGTCGCAATACAAAATAGAAAGGGGTGTAAGTCAAGGATATGTCTCCTCTCCAGATTTTATTCAAGTCGCTATCCTCAGGGACCTGAAGGCCAATCCAGGTTTTATTATCTGTCGGCGTAATCTTAACGATATAAGGTAAGCAGATGACACTTAGGTGATGGCTGACTCGAAAAGAAAATTGCAAAACCTACCAGACAGCGAGGAAAAAAAAGGACTATCAACTGTAAGAAGAGAGAAAATATGGACATCAGTAAGAGAAAAATGCCAAGATGCGAGTTACGAAATGGAGATATAAATATCAAGCAGCTTCAGAAGTTTAAATATCTGGGAAGCGCGTTAAGGATGAAAAATACGACACCGAGGTACGGTCACACATTAAACTAACGAAAGAAGCATTCCAAAAATTAAGGAAGGTGCTGAAAAGAGGGAAAATTTCGTATAGAAACAAAGAAAAAGTGCTGCATTTCTACATTATTTACCAATAATCATACTTATTATAAAACATAGGTTGTGTGTGCGTGTGTCTGTTCATTTATATATTGGATCGGATTTCCTACACTTTTCAACCAATTTCAACAAACTTTCACAATACTACGTAAAATTACCTTGCGATGGTTCTGACAGCACCAAAAATTGGAAAAACACAATTGTTTTTGCACGAAATCAATTTGAAAACACGATTAAGAAGCATCGCTGTCGTGAGAATGAAAGGGGGACAACTCATATCGAGTTATACTTATTATAAAACCCAGGTTGTTTGTGTGTGTGTGTGTGTGTGTTCGTTTATATATGGGATCGGATTTCCTACATTTTTCAACCGATTTCAACAAAACTTCCCTTTTTTTGGCAGGTAGTGTTTCTTATTGTTTTGCACACTTTTTTCTTTATTTTTACATTCAGAATGCTTTAAAAATTCCATTTACAAGACAATTGTTTATAATAAAATTCTATTCAATCGATAGACTCATAACGATTGAAAACAATGTTTTTGTTTGAGTTTGGATTTGACCAATTCGTAAAAAAAAAAAAAAAAACTAATTAAAACATGCGTGTTCGTCAACCTTAAACAATAATCTTTGTCAATTTTATTTTTCAGTCTTTATGATGGTCGATACTTGATCTATCTCATACTGTTACATCCCCGGGCAACGCCGGGCTCTACTGCTAGTCTAGAATAAATTCAAGAAAATGGAGTACTTTCAAATATAAAATATGCGATGTGAAATCGGCGAGCCAAGTTCAAATTATGAATTAGTTTGTTGCGTCCCCTTTCGCATAAACACTTGGAAAAAGTATGGTGATTTATCCTATAAAATCGCAGCGAATGTTGGATAATCTCCTGAGAGATGAGGATAAAAAAATGAGGTAGCAGAATGTGGTTCTATAGAAGAATATTGAAAAGTGCATGGAAGGTGCGAGTAAGCAACAAAGAATCCTTGAATAAAATGGCAACGGAAAGAAACCTTATAGACATAATCAAGAAAAGACAGATAAAATCCCTTGAACGAGTAATGAGGAAGGAGAACTTAGAAAAGTTTAACCTTAACGGGACATATTGAGGGCAAGAGAGATAGGGAAAGGCAACTCACCTGACAAACTTTTATGAATGGATGGCAGAACAAGGGTCGAGCCCCTTAGCAAAAATGTTGCATACTGACGGCTGTGAATGATCTCAGTTCGGCTTTTTCTCTTGGACGGCGATAGCCAATCGTTTCGCTTCAGCAAATAAAGACTGAAACACAGAGAATGCTAACAACTTCTATTAACCATGCTGACATGTAAATTACCCTACTATCCAGTGAGGGCCACCCTAAATGGGGATCCGTTTCGGACACGAAAGAGAACACGTCTACATCTCTTGACGGGTAGAAAAAACAAAATCAAAAAAATCAAAAAATAAAAAACAATTCTTTGAAACCGTTCTCCTATCCTTCCCACGCTAGCTCAGCCAATCAAAATCGACTCCCCATTTTGGCACATATCTCACTCCGAATGCCGACCTCCGGAAGTCGGAGCTAAGATACACTTCCCTTAAAATAATAGTCTGCTAAATTATTCTTTAACAAGGAGAAAAACTGCCAAGAGCCACACAAGATAGGAAGTTGTGGAGAGTTATGATCCCCTATGTTCTGAAGGGATGCGGGATAAAGGAGGAGAAAATGTCAGCCTCCCACAACCAGTTCTGTTTATCTCTCTCCTAGACTGGTTGCCAACCAAGTTAGTTCAATCTGGTTTTCTATTTAACCCAGCAGAAGCAGTAGCAGAAGAAATAGCTGCATACATTTCCCTAAAATTTTGGGGTGAAAATGACCTCGAACGGAGTTTGGACTTGACATGCGGAGCGTCATTTCCGAAACTAAGTACACAACATGCAACAGAATCTATATGACTGCACTTCGTCATGAACATGTGGACCACTGTAGGTCGTCTCGACCTTTACTGCCCTGGTTAGTGGCATCCGCCACCTGATATATCAATAATAATAAAACTAATATTTAAAAAAAAAAAAACTCTTGTTCTCTAACTGCACGAACTACAATCAGACATTCCTATATCTACTTCAAAAATAATATTATACTCCTCGTCTTTGACCTTTGAGTTGGGCCTATCCCTCCTTTGGTTGTACTGAGAATAATATAAGAGGCACATTATCAGGAATCAAGTGTTAAAAAATAACTTAATGGCACTTCTGTCAGGAAAGCAGGTGTTACTGAATACTTAGTAAGAAGAAAAAAACAAGAGCAAAAATAAAGAAGGCAGGCCCTAATAGTTCATGCGAAATAATGCTGAGGAGTGACTTCTTCCGTTTTAATTATTATTTAAATCATAATATGATCTGAGTGTAAACCATTACCCTGTTCAAGCCACAAGAGCAAAGAAAGATTAACTTATTCAAAATGTCGCCCTTTAAATAATGCTGAATAAACATTCTTTAATTCCTGGGTTACTTTATTTTTGGCTTGGGGCATTTTCGTTCTGAATCGCAAATCTGGTCTGGTTGGGTGAAACTGGGAAAATGTTTGGTGAAGAAGATTTTTAGCCTCAGTTCCTCTCTTTTATACACACACACACGCGCGCGCGTATATATATATATATATATATATATATATATATACGCGTGTGTGTATATATATATTTATATATATATATATATATATATATATGAAGAAGTAGAGACACTGAAGTTATCGCCGAGTTTAGAAAGTCAGTTTCATGCTTGAACACAATCATTAGGCCATGTGGGTTGTATCGACTAACATAGATAATCGAGCCACATGACATGAGGATTGCATTCACGCATGAAACAGACAGTCGTCACTCGGTGTTAACATCAGTGTCTACGCATATATTCGCTCACATTTAACCCAGGTTATTGGGCAGTTTTACTTTATAAATTAGTATAACTCAAAACTATATCTTACCACACACAGTTTTATATATATATATATATATATATATATATATATAAATGACAATAGGAAACTACTAACTGCTGACGCGTTTCGTCCAATGTGGACTTTATTTAAAGCAAAATACGAAATGAATATAATTTAACAAGGTAACTAATAAATACAAAAACAGAATGTTACTAGCAACTGGAATGTTTTATCCCCATTTCACCTTTCTTAACAAAATTACTGCTCTCACAAACAAATGTATACAACAGATTCATAAAATCAAAAGAAAATGGTTGAATACATCAACACAGATACAATGACAATATTCTCCACACGTGACAATTACTGACGTTACTTTCAGTTAAAAATATGAAAATAGCGATCTCTACATTCCAGTTGCTAGGAACATTCTGTTTTTTTTGTTTTTATTAGTTACCTTGTTCAATTAAATTCATTTCGTATTTTGCTTTGATAAAGTCCACTTTGGACGAAACGCGTCAGCAGTTAGTAGTTTTCCTATTGTCATTTTTATTCATAAATATTGTCTTCTCTACTGGTTAAATCGGAGGCATAAAAAATATGATTCCATCGTGTCATAGAAATTACCATGTTTCGAGACTGGTCCACAAGTGTTAAAGTTTTATTGTAATTTCTGTGTCTCCATGAAATCGTATTTAAAAAAAATAATTATAATTTTAAGCTCTACTTCTGTATCGAGCAATGATTTATAAAAATAAAAAAAATACTAAACAACTTTGATCATCAATCTAACTGTTCCTTCCTATTACATCAACACACACACACACACATATATATATATATATATATATATATATATATATATTGAAATAGACGAAGTCCGGCAGTTATTTAATATATTTTTGTATATACGTTATCTTAAAGATACAAATATTTAAGTAAAGGCTATGTTTATAATAAACAGTATTAATGTTATTTACCGAATGTCCTAGAAATCCCAAAGAAAATATGTGTCCACCGACAGGAATCGAACCTGTATCCTACACAGAACCACAGTATAGCCTGACGTGCTATACCATTTAGCTACAGATTATATCATTTGTTTACGTTAAGATACGCTTCGATCAGATATGACCGTTCGAGAGAAATCGTGGGAAGTTTCTAGTTAAAAAAAAGTAATTTAACCTAGCTAACCAGACGCTTCCTCTGTAGCTAAATGGTATAGCTCGTCAAGTTATATGGCGCTACCGCATAGGATACTGATTGGATTCCTGTAGGGGGACACATACTTTCTTTGGGATTTTTAAGACATTCACACCGGTAAGTGTTGTTAATATTGTTTGTTATAAACAGAGCATTTACTTAATTATTTGTATCTATAAAATAACGTATATATATATATATATATATATATATATATATATATATATATATATATATATATATATATATATATATTTCGGCATCAATAATTCTTTCAAACTTGTCTGGTTAAATAATATCAACAAGTTCTAGCTGCAAATTTTTTAAAGATTATTTATATCAGTTTTTCTTAATAGTTGTTTTATGTTATTTTAAAATTCACCAAAATTCATATTTATTTTTATTTTATATTATTTTTCCCGTGAACTTTCGAATGTTGTTACTGTTGTGGAGTTATTTCGCAGTGGAGGCTTGTATTTGTACTAAAACGGTCCTAAATAGTTCAGCGTACAATACGTTAGGAGCTTGATATAATAGGTACGACGCGCAGAGTAATCTAGTTGTGGTTGCTGACAACTTTCGTATTCGACTGTCAACTACTGTCGTCCGACATCGACTAGTATTTAGCCACTCCCCCCACGAGGGTATCATGTGGCACAAGGCCGGTTTAACATGGGATCTCCGAGCCCGTGGGCTCGGTCAAAAATATGCCCTTTGAACACGTATAAACGGGTTCAGGGTCGGTTTACCTCCCCGAAAGAGACTCCACCCTTCGGTGTAGCCTCGTTCGGGTTCCTCCCCGCCCGAAGGCAGAGAGTTCAACCGATCAGCCGGTCGTCCGACATCGACTGACCCTCGTTTCTCTTACTACTCCTACTTATATTAAGTGGGAGAGTCTATTAACTATAGAATAGGTGTGTTTCTCCATTACACCCTCTCCTTAAACTTTTCTCCGTAGGAGTAATACAGTTTTCTTTATTTATTTTTTACAGGAAATATGAAGAAAAAACAAACAAAAAAACAAATCATTTTTTTATCAACATCGTAGCGTATCTCCTACGTTTTGGATCCACTTTCAAATGATCAGTTGCCTTTCTTTTTCTCCTGGATCGGTGTACCTCAGGTAAAATCGTTTCAGGCGTTGTTAGATCAAACGTATCGAAAATCACCTCCATCGGCGTTTCTTCCGCGGGACCGCTGTCAACCACGTCTGAAGAGCGTCGTCTGATCTGGTTAATGTGCCGACTGCATGTGAATTTTTCGCCTTTCACCAAGTACATCATATTGCCAATCCGCTTTTCTATTTTTTGGTACCTTCACAGTGTTACCAGAAACAACCTTCCGCTTTGAGCTTCTTAAGGATGGAGTCACAGTTTCTGTAGATTCTTCTTGTGGTTCTATTTGTTCAGCCTCTAGCTTTCCTTTTGTTGATCTTGTGATTCTTAACGTTTTCTCTGGTGATTTCAGTTGACTTAAATCGTTTAATAATACTGCATGTCCTTGGCTGCGGTAAACTTGCTCCCAGGTTTTTTCTCGGTGTAGGTTTCATCTTTACTTTCTGGGACTTTTTTTCACGTATACCGTCGGTGTTTCCCATTCAATATACTCAACTTTTTTAAGTATACCGGTTTTCTCTAATCTGTCCAATTCTTTATCTATCTGTTCAATTGAGGCAAACGGCACACTCCTTTTCTTTTTGAATACCGCCTGAGCGTTTTCTTTTAGCTGGAATTTTGCTTCCATTTTGGTACACGTTCCCAACCCCGGAGAAAAAACAATAGGAAATGTTTCCTTAAGTTTCTTTATTAATTTTTGGGCTTCGGTGTTTAAACTTTCTACCTTGTAACAGAAGGAATTTATCGGTAGATCCCATAATTGGAATTCTGTTATTTTATTTCTTTCAGGGATTACCGCACAGTCGTCGTCGTCGTCGTCTTCTTCTTCTTCTTCTTCTTCTTCTTCTTCTTCTTCTTCTTCTTCTTCTATGTACCGTATTTGGAATGTAGTTGATCGAGGCTTTCCACAATTTTCTATTCTATGTTACTCTTAACAATGTTTGTAATTTTAGTAGATGATAAAACAACTAATTCGGAAATTTAAAAAAATTAGCAAAAAAACTTGTAGACAGTACATATTATTTAAACACTAGCAGTAGAGCCCGGCGTTGCCCGGGGATGTAACAGTAAGAGATAGATCAAGTATCAACCATCATAAAGACTGAAAAATAAAATTGACAAAGATTATTGTTTAAGGTTGACGGACACGCATGTCTTAATTAGTTTTTTTTTTTTTTTTTACGAATTGGTCAAACCCAAACTCGAACAAAAACATTGTTTTCAATCGTTATGAGTCTATCGACTGAATAGAATTTTATTATAAACAATTGTCTTGTAAATGGAATTTTTAAATTTTTAAAGGATTCTGAATGTAAAAATAAAGAAAATAGTGTGCAAGACAATAAGAAACACTACCTGCCAAAAAAGTGAAGTTTTGTCGAAATCAGTTTGAAAAATGTAGGAAATCCGATCCCATATATAAACGAACACACACACACACACACACACACACACACACACACACACACACACACACACACACACACACACACACAAAACAACCTGGACAACAACGGATTTTGTTAAAAATTATCAGGCATAATGTCTGCAATTTATTAATTCATTCATATTCATATATATATATATATATATATATATATATATATATATATATATACCGGGTATAAAAACAAAATTGTCCAAATCGTGTAACAGCATAATTATCTATCCCACAAAATGGTTAATATCTAAAAACCACTAAACTAATTGAGTTTCTTTTTTACAGCTTTTCAGATAAGATGTTTAGCCATCTTGGCACAATATTTCGTAAGAATCGTTGAAAAACCCTTTGAGTTCTTCACCTAAAAGGATAGCCGGTAAAAATTGTTTTGTGTCAGACCCACTGTCTTTTCAACTGAGCAATGGTGAGAGGTAAAATATCATATAGGCTTTCAGTAATCGTACCAACATTCATGCCCTGGTTTCCATATTCAAAGTCCATTCCAGAACCATTAACAGAAGAGTGGATAAGTTTGAAAAAGGGGGAACCGTAGAGAGGAAACTGGATCAGGAGGTCAAAAAGTCCAACTCAATCCATGAGACCTTTGGCACATGAGAGAGGAGTTTCTGCGATGAGAGTCCAAAGAGTAGTGAAAAAGATTGAAAATGCAATCGTACGTGAAACCTGTAAGGCGTCTTGTTACCCCCCTCTCTCTCTCTCTCTCTCTCTCTCTCTATATATATATATATATATATATATATATATATATATATATATATAAAAAGAAAAACAAACCACTTTAAGGCTCCATTGTAATAATTTATTTCACCAGAAAATGGAGCCTTAAAGTGGTCTGTTTTTCATTAAATTATTAGCTCTGAATTTACATCTATAAATCTATATTTAGATGTGTGTGTGTACTAGTGGATAAGTTAATATTAATCCATCTTTCTAATTGTAAGTTATTCTTTTCCATAGAAAAAACTATGCTATGTGTAAAAGCTAAGTTAAACCTTCATGCTATTTATGCCTTTTTTATTTTAGATAGAAAATTTTATAATTTGTATAATAGCTGATACGTAATGCATCATTCTAATTATGAGTAATTCTTTTAGACAGAAAAAAAAACTTATAGCTTTAAAAATAATGCTTACTCTTTTCATTCTAATTGGGATTTTTTTCTCTCTTACAAAGAAAAGGATACCATTAGTTTAAAAGCTAATACTCAATCTTTCATTCTAATTGAGAGTTTTTTTTTTCCTTTACGCAGAAAAAATATCATTTTTGTAAAAGCCAATAATTTACCCATCATTTTAATTGGGATGTTTTTCTTTTACATTGAGAAATATATTGGCATAAAAGCTAATAATTTATTCGGTATTCTAATTGTTATTTTTTTTTACACACAAAGGAATATCATTGTGGTAAATATGAATAATTAATTATCATTGTTGTAAATACTAATAATTAATTCTATTTGTGAATTTTTCTCTTGCATAGAATAACATATCATTGCTGTAAATGCTAATAACTCATTTGTCATTCGTGTTTTTATTTTAGAATGAAGTAATATTATCTTTTAGACCAACGATATACAACCTTATAAATATCATCACGAATATCACCAAAATAAATAAAAAAACGTTTAGGTAATAAATTCTCTTTATATATATATATATATATATATATATATATATATATATATATATATGAAGAAATATAGTCTTAAGGTGTGTTATATTTATGGGATAAAGTGCTCAATATCAGAGATAGAGCGTGTGTAAATATAAAAGTGAACATAGAAGTCAACACTTAGAGGCGACTGTCTGTTTCATGCTATATGCAATCGTCAGGCCTGACGATTGCATATAACATGAAACTAAGTGTTGACTTCCATGTTCACTTTTATATATATATATATATATATATATATATATATATATATATATATATATATATATATAAAAGAAAATTCAGACATATATATATATATATGAATTTTCTTATATGTATTATTATTACAAAATAAATTCTCTTTATATATATATATATATATATATATATATATATATATATATATATATATATATAAAAAAATTTATTACCTAAACGTTATTTTTTTAGTAGATACTCGTATTTGAGTAGACGCCCCGTTTATTTATTAAACAGTACATCTATATATTTTCATCTACCTGCCTGAATATTCCAGAAGTCTTATTAGAGAAAAATATCCTGTTCATATCCTGCATAATTGTCTAAGGTTTCACGGGTATTCAGGCCCGTAAATGAAAATAAATAATACAGTTTAATAAATAAACGGATCATCTACTCAAGTATCCACTAAAAATAACGTTTAGGAAATAAAAGGCGACTGTCTGTTTCAATCGTCAGGCCATGTGCACATCTCCTCTGGTTGTTGACTGAAATGTACACTTTATATTCACATACGATCTAACCCTGGTATTGAGCTCATTCACCCATGAATATAGCACAAATTCATATCATATGTATATATCATATATATCATATCATTTTATATATACAAGTATATATACTTTTTCTATTTATTAATAAGGCATCCATTATTTTTTGCCTCATTACTCAATAATATCAACTATGAACTCCGCGACAATGCACTGGCCGTGTTTAAAAACATGAAATATGCCTATAACTCTAGACGCATGCATAGAACAATCCATATGTTCAATTAGACGCAAAAATAACATTTATCGTTGATAATGGCTAAATGCATAGCTGAAAGCGGTCGGATATACAAAACATTTGGACAATTCCTACGTAATTTACGCCCAGAAAAGAACACATGAAAAGTTAAATAACAAAGTTAAACTGTAGTACTTTGTCAGTCGTTTTTCATGAAACACACACACACACACACACACGCACACACACACACACACACACTAACATATGGAATTTAAAAATTATTTTATTGTTTGTTTATGCTAATTATTCAATGCAAAAATTTGATGATGTCGGCAAAAAACCGTTAACTCCTGTCTATTGTTTAATAGATTTTTATTATTTAGAAACTTAATAATGTGTAGTTTCTCATGTAGGCATAAAGGACATGGGTCATCCCAAGTTTTACCAGTTCTAGTTTTGTTTATAATTTTCCATTTTACTTTTGGTGTTTTATTCATTTCCTTCAAATGCCAAAAATATTTAGATAGAGATGTCTGATTTCTTTTATTAATATTGTTGAAAGAGCACTTATGCTGCCTCCATCTGGTTTTAAATTCATTCTTCGTAGACCCAATGTATATCATATTAGTATTAAGACTCTCAATGGATGAGATAGTACATTGGTATACCACAGATTTTACGCGGCATTTATTTTCCAATGGGCGGTCTTCTGGATTTCTACAATCACATAATTTTTCACTATTTTTGTCTAATTTAAGTGTAGAGTTTTTATTAATACTATTCAAGCATGGGGGTTTGTTCAAGATTTTATTATTGTGTTTTTTTATTATACTTTCTAGATTTTCAGTGCAGCTGTAACTTAATCTTAGGGTGTTTTTATTAAATATTTTACTAAGTCTACGATTGGTAGAAAAGTGTTTTTCAATTAAAGCTAGGGATTTCTGTCCTAGCTTAATACTAACCATTTGGTTGAACGGAGGTGTATACCAAATGATTTTTCTTTTCCTGTTTTTTCTGGTTAGTACAATTGTTTCTACAATTGATGTTAGCATTTATGTATCCACTATTTTTTAGGGCTGTGTTATAAAAGTTACTCTGTTGTTGGAATATTTCCTTATTAGCAGAGTCAATGCTGATTCTATTCTCTATTGATGAGGGTATATGTTTAATTATGGATGGGGGGTGGTTTGACTTCGGGTGTATATATAAGGGGTTAGTATTTGTTTTTTTATAAGGTTGGTATGTGTTGCTTGTTAAATCTAGAGTTACGCCGAGGAAGTTTACCCTTATCAATTTAGTACAGACTGTTATTTTTAAGTTTAGATTTTTAAATTCGCTAAATATAAGCTTCCTAATTTTATGAGAACTCTTATGTAGCGTGTTGGAATCATATTTTTAAATAAATAATTATAATTATATACATATATATATATATATATATATATATATATATGTGTGTGTGTGTGTGAAAAGTGTGTATATAAATATATATATATATATATATATATATATATATATATTTATTTATATATTATATGCGCGGTACTTATTAGAAAGCGCTCAATATCAGAGATAGAGCTAACATATTTGGTTAGATAGATCACATCTATCCAACCAATATATATATATATATATATATATATATATATATATATATATATATATATATATAAATAAACATATACACAAACATACACATATATATATGAATTGCATGGTATAAAATATTACGTATCTGACTAATAGTGGGGAAGTGAATGACAAATTGAAAATAAAACACTCTTAAGTGATGCTCTTCGTTAACGTAGGCCATCTGGATTAAGCAGAACCAGAGATCAAAATTTTTCACCATTATTATCAGGGTGGCATTTGAGTAGCAATATATATATATATATATATATATATATATATATCTGCATGTGTGTACGTGAATTATTATTTTAGCTGAGTTTGCGCATGTTTATTTTTCCCTGGCCCCTGTCTCATTGCCAAACTCCGTGACAAAAACTGACTTTCCTTAGCATGACACGTTGACAGAAATAGAAAATAATTCTTTTTCAATATTGTGTACACTGGGTACGCGTCTTATTTGACAAGGTATAAATAGGGGACCAGAGAAGAAGGATAACTTATGTAATCTTACACAGCATGCGTCAAATCTTAACATTCCATTTTCGAATTCAGACGTACGGAGAGCATTAAGATTAGAGATTCCACTCTGAGGGAGGAAGTAAAATGTCACACAGTACTTGTGTCAGTAGGCGCCAAAGAGAGCAATTCGGAAATAGCGAATCAAAGTAGCCAGGGAGGGGGGGAGAGAGGAGGCACGACAGGTGGCCCTATGCCGAACCCATCGAGTTGCCTGTGATTATACTAGAGTTCGTATGAAACGAAGACCGCTTTTTCTCTCACAGGGCCTTTAACCTTCTCCTTGCAGAACGCTGGTTCTCGGAAATAGCTGTAAGTGTTTCATCAGCTGTAATCTCCCACATCCTTTGCGACCCTCGTGAATTGGGAGTGGCTGGACGAGAAGTACATTCCCGATAATGTCTTTAACAATATGTCACATCCTAACTTTCTTGATTCGAATTCCTTCAACTAGCACTTCTCGGAAATTGTTCAGGGACAAACTAAAGGCCGCTTCCAGGATCTGATGGCCAACAAGAATAAGAACCAGGTGATCCGTGTATTCACTCGTTTCTAACTTCAAGGCGCAAAGTAGAATCTTAAACCAGTGTACATTCTCCTTGATATACATTTTCTATCGAATATCTTTCTTATCATTATAATATGTTCTCAATTATCTGGTGCACACTCTGCTCTTATTATTTTTATATATACTTAAGCAAAAATCAGTTTCTTTTCTTTCTTTCTTTCTTTCTTTCTTTCTTAACCACATTTATAAAGGGTTTTTCTAATGCTGGAATGTGTTCTGATTCTTCCTTTTGCTCTGTACTTTAACACCAGTATTTTTTATCATATATGTATACATCGTGCGATGGTTAAATTGTCGCCATCTTATAATTTTAATTTCGTGTATGGGCGTTTTTTTTTGGTTTTTGATTTTGTCGATTGCACATTATAGTAGGGTCAGTTGGGCGCCGTCAGTGAAAAAAGAGCACCATGACGCAATTCACTCTGTCAGAAATTTGAAAACCGCAAACTGTACTTCTTGGTATGCGACCACATCAGACTTTACAAACCCCCCTTGTTTATTATGTGGGGGGGGGCACAGTTGAGCTATAAACCAACAAAACTCTTTGTGACACCAAAGATGAACTGAAGGCAAGGATTATGGCAGTATTCAACAACTTAAACAGGAGACCGCCCAGAGGAGTTACAACAGGAGGATTCCGAAGTCGTCTGGAGGCCGTGGTTGAAGCTAATGATGATATATTTGAATAAATTTACTCTTTACTATTTCAATTTCTATTTTGGAAAATATATCTGATATAATCAGATGACACTGTTATTTTCATTTTTGCGTAATTTAGACGACAATTTATGCAACACACCCTATCTATCTATCTATCTATCTATCTATCTATCTATCTATGTGAAAAAGCATATATGTTTTATATATCACAAATATTATTAGGAAAATCTATGACAAAGTGTAAAACATTTTTCGGGCGACCCATTTCACCTTATAGGAGTAAGACTAAAATAATGTTTACGTTGACATGATTACTCATGCGCATGAATGAAAGCGAAAAACTGAAACACACACACGCATATATATATATATATATATATATATATATATATATATATATATATGAAAAAATATACGGAAAAAAAAAACAAAAATCCTTATATACAATTATGCTGTTTTAATGTTAATATGTCTGACGTTTCGGTCTATATATATATATATATATATATATATATATATATATAGACAGACACACAGATAGGTGATGGCAAAATGCCTATTCAAAAGCATTACGTTTGCCGTATCATCTGACATGTGGCTCACCATTGAAGCACTTTATGTTATTATTGAGAATGTCAGTATATCAGGGTACTGGCTATTGACCACTTTAATTAATTTACCTCTGCAGATTGTTCAGTAAATATTAAAATTAGTGAACACATATGTCCTTTTCCACGGGAAAATTTGTCCATATATATATATATATGTATCTGTGTGTGCGTGTGTGTGTGTGTGTGTGTATGTGTATTTAAGAAATGGATTAAATCCGGCATATTTTCAACGCAGTCTTCAGGTCATGTTTGTTAAGTAATCAATAATAAAGAGTGAGTAAAAATTTAAAAAACTTTCGGATGCACTACTATTTCTACTTATTTGCCTCTTGAATAATTTGAAAAAAAAATAAGCCTTACCGAATACCCAATATCCTTCAGGATGGTTCAATCGACCTTACTAAGCATAATGCACCATACGTAGCATACATAAATAGTCGAGCCAAAATACAACAAACATAGTCTAAAAATTGCGTTAAAGCATGGAACTCGCTGTCCAGCTTTACATTTACATTCGCTCTATCTCTGAAACTAACGTCAACCCGGATCAACGACAGTCTGCTTCATGACTGAACGCAATCTACAGGCAAATTCGCCTCAGATCAGGAAAAAACAAGACTGAAAATTTCAGGAATGGGGTGAGTAAGCAACAACTGATTGATTGATTTGCTTTTTACAGTTTATCAACCTTTTGCGGGTCATTCAAAACGAGAAAATATTTTTAAGATCGTAAAAGTATTTGTTAGCTAATAATGATTTACTAATTGATACTAATTGACTCATTTTACTAATTGATACTAATTGACTCATTTTACTAATTGACCCATAGCTGGGAAGATGAGGTGGATTTATACATTTCCCAGCAGCCTCTGCGCGTAAGTGAATCTGCCGAACCCAACTGGAATTGATATTCGGCTGTCCGATTTCCAGTTCCGAGCCGTTATCCATAACAATGTCCGCACACCCAAACTTACGACACCTGGTATTCCCAAACAGTGACCCATCTAAGTACTGTATAACTTCGGTGATTGTACCGCAATCGATATTTCAACGAGATATGACCATAAGCAATAAGGAATTCTTTAAGAAAAATGGTAACAGAAAGAACGATTCTCGTCAGAAACAGACCAAGAAATTCCTTGGACACATAACGATGGAGGAGAGATATCACGAACAACAGAGATAGGGGAAAGCAGCGATCCAATTACCTGACGAGTTTCTCCGTACGGATAACGGAATGAGAGCCTTAGCAGAGGGAAAGAAATTGCTAAGAGCCACACGAGACAGGAAGTTGTAGAGAGCTATGATCGCCCATGTCCTAAAAGGACGCGGCACATAGAAGAAATCGTCACTACTGAGATTGATGTTCTTTCCCCATCGGTGTACAGTGCTGTTCGATAAAAGTGATTCACCTGAGTTTTTTTTACTAAATGTTCTCTTCTCCGATGAAACGAAAGTTGAGCTAAATTCAAAGGATAAGCGATCTAAAACCCGAAGAAGAAGCTTTGAAAGCTCTTTGAATTTAGCAGTAAGTAATGTCAAGCATCCGTTCAGTATAATGTTCTGGGGATGCTTTTCTTTTCATGGAATTGATTTCTTAAAATCTATTGAAAAGACCCTCAGGAGCAAGCAGTACAAGAGAATTTTAGAGTCTTGTCTGCTCCCTTCTGCTGAAAGGGTGCAAATCAACCTCACCAATATTAGTAAGATTAAAAATTCGTTTGACCCCCCAAAACAATAGGCGAAAAAATTTTTAAGTAAAAAAAAAAAAAAATTCAGGTGTTTCATTTTTATCGAACAGCACTGTACATGGAAAAGTTTTAAATTGAGAGCACATTTGTATCCCTACAACTAAATATGCGTATTACCGTTTTCCTAAAGAGATACCATTTCAGTGTCCCAAACATTATAATCTGAAATAGACAATGTGGTGTATGCGGCAAAATATCACAAGTATATTGCTGAGGAAGTCCTTTCCTTCAGCCTACTCGTGTGCCCGTGGCGTTGTCAGGGTACCTCGTGTTTCATAGTATATGACCAGGTTTACTATTTTTCGGTGTGGCATGACATACGCAAGTAGCATGCTTTTTATCGCCGACTACTCAGTTGTTATCTATTTCTTCGGTGACAAAAGAATGTTTTCCAGGTCATGGAATCAATAATTTCTCTCGGGAGTAACGTGAAGCACTAAGATCACTTTACTTCAGACCGTACGCTCCAGAAGGTCACCACAAGCTCTCTTATACCATTCCAAAAGCACGAACGAAAGGCGAATTCGTTGGGATTTGTGTTCTTCAGTCAGTAGCTTTGGGAACCAAATTGGGAATTCTACGCATGCAAATATGATCTCATATCTCACATCCTCTTTTTTTCTCCAATGCTTTCTGTTTCTTTCTTCATCGCTGTTATAATGTCTCATGCGCATGCGCACGATGTTAATTCTCTTCTGGTTGTTAGAAGGAATAGTGCATGGAGTCTGTTGATTTATGCTTTTCGTTTTCAGAGTATTTTTATCGCTATTGCGCGATTTACGCCTTGATAAATTTAATTGAGAATATCTGCAAAAACCTACATCTATCTATCTATCTATCTATCTATCTATCTATCTATCTATCTTTGTTCAACTCAGTTCATCTCTATCTCTCTCTATCAATTTCACTTAATATCTACATTTCTACCTATGTTCATATCTATCTATCTATCTATCTATCTATCTATCTATCTATCTATGTTCGTCTCCAGGTATCCATCTCTCTTTCTCTGTGTGTGTGTGTGTTCATATCTATCTATCTCTCTATCTATGTTCGTCTCTATCTTTTCATCTATCTTTCCTTCTATGTTCATATCTATCTATCTATCTATCTATCTATCTATCTATCTATCTATCTCAGTTCATCTCTTATCTCTGTTTATTAATTTCAGTTACTATCTATCTATCTATCTATCTATCTATCTATCTATGTTCGTCTCTAGCTATTCATCTCTCTCTCTCCCTATCTATCTATCTATCTATCTATCTATCTCAGTTCATCTCTAACTCTCTCTATTAATTTCAGTTACTATCTATCTATCTATATATGTTAGTCTCTATATCTCTCTATCAATTTCAGTTATTATCTATCTATCTATCTAACTATCTATCTATCAGACTTGTGTACAAGTGAAGAAAGTCATTATTTGCCCTTTTTATTCCCTTTAATCTCCACTTCCTACTACATTCTCGTTTATTCATATCAGGTACCACATTCATCATAACTCATTTAGTAGCAACCCTCTGTGTTAGTTTTGCTACCAGGCTCTGTAATGAGTAAATCTAATGGAAATATAATTGTAATTATAATTAATTATAATAATATTAGTTATGATTTTAACGAGTATAATTATAATCATAATGTATAATTCTCAGCCCAACAAAGAACATCAGATATTAAAACACTTGTTCATTTTTGGAATGTCGATTGCGCCACGCAGATTATTGCATCTATCTATCTATCTATCTATCTATCTATCTATCTATCTATCTATCTATCTATCTACTAAAAGATACAGATGTTCTCCTGATCTGCCGTTTTACAGATATTTAAAACTCTTTCATTGTGAAGACTGTATTAGTTATTGCTTTATTGGATATGTATAAATGAGTTTGGAGTATCCGCTGCCACAATTCTGGAACTCGATCCACTGATTCTATTTTGTTAACTCTTAGCAGTTTTACCAGTCTGCATACTCTTATTATTGTATAAAATATGATTGGACCATGTAAAGGTTAGCTAAAGGAGCAACAATATTACGAAGTGCAGTTGTTAGTCTTGCGTTTTTGGCTTAATATTGACGTACCATAATATTTCTTATATCATTTCGCTCCTATATACTTTCACTATCTATCCTTTTGGGCATGCTATATTCACTATTTCGGATTTTTCTTTCTTTCTTTCTTTCTTTCTTTCTTTCTTTCTCGGCCAGTTTGTTTATCTCTTTCTTTCTTTTTTTCTCTCAGCCTATTTCTTTCTTCTTTATCTATCTATCTATCTATCTATCTATCTATCTATCTATCTATCTATCTGTTATGGTCCTAGGTAGAACCAATAAAGAAGAACTCGAACACGGATATGGAATAACACAGCTATATTACAAACAGGAATATATACAGAGAAGTAGAAAGTGTTAGTACGAACAATCAGGTTTAGTTGGGAGAACAATGTAGTCTCGACCAGTATCACTATTCCAATGTCTTGTAGTAATTGTCTGAACGCGACTCTGTTTCTGACTGCCTCTGACTCGACTGACTGGCTTGTTCGCTCTGACTGACTGACTGACTCCTGACGGACTTCTGACGGACTTCACTCCAGACTTCAGACGGAACTCCCTGCTTCCTCTTGAGGCGCAGTATTTATTACGTATGGAATAGTCCATTATGTTATTATGGGTAAGGTCCCATAACACTATCTATCTATCTATCTATCTACAAATTATATAAAATCTGCTATCCATAATACCTTATCTTATCTAAACAAATCCTTTCATAACCATCATGGATATAATCATTTCTAAAAACACCCATACCAATAATAATTCAGAAGCAGGCATATATAGACTGTTCTTTAAAATACATTTGGGGATATTAACAGAAATTAAGAAAAAACCCACAAAACGTGTCTATGAACACAAAAGAGATCATATAAATAATAATTTAACAAATGCACTAAACATACAAAGAAATAAATTCGACCACAATTTTGACCTCAAAACGCAGCACTCATCAAAAGAGAAAGTAATTTACTCAAAATGAAAATCCTCGAGAATGCCGCCATTGAATATTATCAAAATATCAATCTACGACTTGGTTTTTCCCAATCTCATCTTTCTTATCTATCCTACGACAACATACACAACAAATATGTTGAAAAATCAAAGGAAAACAGCTGAATCTATCATTTTAACTTTTAGAGATGTATAATACGAATTCCATTTCATATTTCAATCCCCAAAACTTTTTCTTTTTGATTACACTAAATGACGTATTCTAAGGTCTAAACGTCTAAACATTACAGTTAACCTATTCCTGGGCGTGTTTAAATGTAAAAATTTCCTTTCGAAGATGTTATATGACAAAATCTAAGATCTAATACCAAACTCTTTTCAGTGAACTTGCTGCATATTTATCAGCCTTCTTAAATTAGGAAGTTTTGAGTAGCTGTCACATTCATATACACATTTGCCTTGATAAATCCGTCGTAAGACGAAACGTGTCGGCTAAACTAACTATAGTTTTCCTTTTGTCTTTTCACACACACACACACACACACACACACACACACACACACACACACACACACACATATATATATGTGTTTTTGTGTGCAAGAAAAATAGCGTTTCATGAGTTATTTTATTGTTTCTATCGCATCATATGCTTCATTAATGGGCGTCAAAGAATGATGCATCTTTAATACAATTCTTTCACCATTTGCTTTTTACATCGCAGTTGACCGACTGTATTCCTAAAAGCGTGGGAGGGAGAAAGAGTGAAAAATGAGAAAAAGCGAGGGTGTGTACGAGAGAGAGAGAGAGAGAGAGAGAGAGAGAGAGAGAGAGAGAGCGAACAAAAAGAAACAGCGTTGCCATTTTGCAGAGAAGCCTTTTCTTTTCGCCTGGAATCACTGTTGCCAGGAAGCGCGCGATCTTTCCTGAAACGGATTTAATGGCAACATTAAAGCAAACAGAGAGTTTAGGTTGCAATATTGTGTGCCTGGAATTTTGAGAGCTGCCACTTGTCAATGACTTTTGGTTGTCCGAACGTGATCGGTTATAACTTTAGAGCCTCTTGATAAATGATCAGCAGGGAGAAAATGCCAGTATTGTGATATTTTTCGTTGTCAGAGTCATTCTAACAGCCGGCGTGGAATTTATGTAACAAATAAATAGGATTTATATTTTTAAAAAATCTCTCTCTCCACACACACACACACACACACACATATATATATATATATCTTAATATGTTCATTATCTATCTATCTATCAATTTATCTCTCTCTGCTAAAGCCAAAAGAAAATATAAATTTGCAGTAATTACAGAGTACTTGATTTTATTCTGAGAAACATAAGCACTTAACTAAAGAAAAATATTGTTATACAATAGCATCATATTTTGTTTTCATCAATAAAACCACCACCTGCTTTAATTACTATTTACAAATTTTTGGCATCTTGGGAAAAAAAACAAAAAAAAACATGGATGCCAGACTTTATCATGCACTCATCAATCACTGAAAAAAGCTCACTCACAAATTTCGGGCATTCTGTTCAAACTCCATCCAATTCATTTCATACTAATTCATTCGGGGGAAGGTCAAATGATTGAGCTGGCGAACTCGTAGTTTTCCCAATTTTGTTTCTTTATTTTGACTGGAGTTAATCTGAGGTAATTTGACTCATGGAAGAATGTTTTGGATCGTTGTCTTGTTGAAAGGCGATTTTTTCCAGTTATATGTAAAGCAGATGGTATAGCATTCCTATTCTTCTTTTTACATCATTCTTTTAACCTGAATCAAATCTGCATCCATTTTGTCAATATCAAATATTCCAGTAGTGAAAACAAAATATAATGTTTCTCATAGAAAAAAAATATTTATGATTTGTCAAAATATATTGTGAACAGATCTTAACTTTTTATTACTAAGAGGATCCTGGAGAAAGACTGAAAAATAAAAGCAAATACACTGTAATTATTGAAACTTATCTTTTACTAAAAAAGGAATACAAAAATGTCTCATTTTAAGGTGTGTTTTTAAAGAAATGCAGTTGTACCCATACTTTTTCGCTGTAATCTATCTATCTATCTAAATTCTGTTTAGCGAGATCTATCTATCTAGCCTTCCGGTAACGAAAATTACAAAATCTCTGCCTTGGAGCAGCCTCACTTTGATAAACCATAATCCGTCAACCACTCAGTCTTCACGTCCGACAGCCGCCCCATAAGCGCAGGTAATTTCACTTATTTTTCCATACTATCTATCTATCTATCTATCTATCTATCTATCTATCTATCTAAATTCTGTGTAGCGAGATCTATCTATCTCAAGCCTGTTTAGCGAGATCTATCTATCTATCTATCTATCTATCTATCTATCTATCTATCTATCTATCTATCTATCTATCTAAAGTCTGTTTAGCGAGATCTATCTATCTATCTATGTATCTATCTATCTATCTATCTAAAGTCTGTTTAGCGAGATCTATCTATCTATCTATGTATCTATCTATCTATCTAAAGCCTGTTTAGCGAGATCTATCTATCTATCTATCTATCTATCTATCTATCTATCTATCTATCTATCTATCTATCTATCTATCTAAATTCTGTGTAGCGAGATCTATCTATCTCAAGCCTGTTTAGCGAGATCTATCTATCTATCTATCTATCTATCTATCTATCTATCTATCTATCTATCTATCTATCTAAAGTCTGTTTAGCGAGATCTATCTATCTATCTATGTATCTATCTATCTATCTATCTAAAGTCTGTTTAGCGAGATCTATCTATCTATCTATCTATCTATGTATCTATCTATCTATCTAAAGCCTGTTTAGCGAGATCTATCTATCTATCTATCTATCTATCTATCTATCTATCTATCTATCTAGCTAGCTAGCTAGCTAGCTAAAGCCTGTTTAGCAAGATCTATCTATCTATCTAAAGTCTGTGTAGCGAGATCTATCTATCTAAAGCCTGTTTAGCAAGATCTATCTATCTATCTATCTATCTATCTATCTATCTATCTATCTATCTATCTAAAGTCTGTGTAGCGAGATCTATCTATCTCAAGCCTGTTTAGCGAGATCTATCTATCTATATATCTATCTATCTATCTATCTAAAGTCTGTTTAGCGAGATCTATCTAAAGCCTGTTTAGCAAGATCTATCTATCTATCTATCTATCTATCTATCTATCTATCTATCTATCTATTTAAAGTCTGTTTTGCGATACACTAATAAACTCTGTTCTCTGTTGTGACAGATACTTGTATACGCCTCCATTGTATTCTTACTCGGGAATAAAATCTGCCCTACGTCTTTATGGTAGTAAACATGAGCAATTGTGTTAAATGGGTTTCTCGAACTAACACGAAACTTCCTCATTGATAATATCTGCGTTTTGTTACGCTTGATGAAGATAGAGTGAAATAAAGAGTATAAAGCTAATGGAAGGAATCTCGTGCTGCCATTATTTGACATTGTGACTAAGTAATTAGGTTTTAAAATTAATTAATAAATTTAAACACGCACATGTAAAATTGAATTTGTAAAAACGAAACGAAATAGAATCAATACGGAAAAGAATCAATGTACTCTTCTTTCTTTACTCATTAAGATATTTTAAATTTGATTTCGAATTTTTTTCTAAATCACTGGGTTTTTTTCTTGCTTACTTTTTTTTCATAAATGGCCAAGAATTTCGAAAATTACCGATTTTATCAGTTCTTAATGTAATTATATTTAGTGCATTCATTCCTCGATATCAGACAAGCCGATACTAAAGATGCAGAAGGTAATTATCTCTCTTTTGAGAGGAAGAATTTACTGATGTCCCAAGGGGATCTTGAGAACCGCGTGACAAGCCATTGGCGTGAATACTCAGATGCAGTTTGGCTTCCAAGGGAAGACGACACAAGTCCGATGCGTTCTAAAGTGAAATGGAAGTAATACCACAGGGCTGTAGTGCTTCTATTTTTGGGTGGACGCTATAAGTAAGGCTTTCGTTTTAATTGCATTCTACATACTGATTAACTTCATATATGAGCAGACATTTCTCGGCATCAGACAATTTATGAATCACATATATGTACTGCATTATAGTATGATTTACGTTTGTGTATTCAGTTTGTATATTAACAAATTATCCTATTAAAATCATTTGTAGAATCCATCTTTTGGGGTTGTTCTATTTCAGGGAATGTCGAATTATGGTCCATCATTTAAATATATGTTATTTTTTGTTACATATTGTAGCAAAGAGTGACCAATTTCAAATAGAAAAAAAAACAGTTCCAGTTTCTTCTTTATGCACTGGGTCCCCTCAGGACGTAGCGATCATTGTTTTCGACAACTTCCTGTCCCTTGTAGATCATAACTTTTGTCTTTCTGTTTATTTCTCCTAAACCCTGTTCCACTATCCATTTACTCCAGGTCATTAAGTATGTTATCTGCCCTGTGAGTATCAAATATTCCATGCCCTCCATCCTCATCATACCCCCCAGAAACCTCAACTTTCTCTTCCTGGTATTAATTATTACTTTCTATTTGTTCCCATTTTTACCAAAACTTCGTAACAGAATTAAATATACGATCTGTCTCGAGGTTACCATGGAGTAAGCTTGATCATAATTATAAAAAAAAACAAAAAAAAAAAAAAAAAAAACTGTAAAAGGTTTTTCTCGGATACCCAAATCACTTTCATAGTCATTAATATATTAAATATGAAATCAATTTCTCTTATATGTACGCAGTCTGTTCGCAAACTTCGTCTAATAGACAAATCAATATACAAATAACGTCGGCATAGAGGATTTTTACTTGTCTTGTCATTGTTAAATCCCTGTTGGTATTGTGATGTAGCGTACATTACAATGATACGGTACTCCATGAAAGAAAATAAGTGTGCCCATCCCTGACGTAGAGGGTGGTATATTAAACAAGACAAAATAATGGTATTGATGAATGAGAAATGAAATATGAATGGAAGTGAAGATTATATTAAACGGAGATTAGGAAGATAAAGAGAATAGATAATGACTGACCGTTGACTTGAAGACGTGAAGATTAAAGTGCTCATGAAGACATTTACCCGACAATCTGCTCCAAAAAACGGCATTTCCCGGGGGAAAAAAGCAATGTGACTGGAATACTGTTCTGCATAAAAAAAAATGTTTGTCCATCTCTGTACTTAGAGGGTAATAAATTAAACTAGTCAAAATAATTTCAGTTTTATTTTGCTAAATATGACCAAATATATTTCATTCTCGAAGGACAAGTAATTTAGATGTTTACTATCGAAATGGTATTGATGATTGAGAAATGAGATATGAATGGAATTGAAGATTATATGAAACGGAGATTAGGAGGATAAAGAAGATAGATAACGATTGACCTTTGCATTGAAAAGATCAACATTAGAGAGGTCAAATAAACACCTACACGACAATCTGCCCCAAAACCGGAATTTCCTGTGGGGAAAAAGTCTGACTGGAATACGGTTCACCATGAAAAAAATTGTCCATCCCTGACGTAGAGGATAGTAAATGTATCTAGTCAAAATAATTTTAATTTTATTTTACTAAATATGACTAAATAAATTTCATTCTCTAGGGCCAATTAAATTAGAGGATTACAAATGGTATTGATGAAATGAAGTATGAATGAAAGTGAAGATTAAAGGAAATGGAGATTATAAAGATAAAGAGGATAGCTAACGATTGACCTTTTGACTTAAAGAGGTCAATATTAATATACAAAGGTAAAGCGATAATCTGAATGAGACGTTCTCATTACATTCAGAACACAGGGGAAATAAGGATGATATGAAAGCAGCATGGCATTTTCTGAACTGTAAATTTCAATCTTCAGTTAACATTTTTTTTTACAAACTGCAAAAGAATTAAATTTTATTCATCACTTAATACCAGTAAATTTGACAATAAAAAAAAAAAAAACTGGCCATAAAATATTTACCCATCTTTTGATTCAACATCAATGAACTGATATTTTTATGTAGGAACGTTAACCATATCCACAAATCGGCCTCAGCTTGAAGAATGGAATATGCTATGTGTTTTGCGTATATCAAAAAGATTCAGCTGAATCCTGATTATGATAATTTTGCAAAAGAATTTTCTCAGGTGCACAAATCTCAATAATAGGCATAAATGTATTAAATATTAAAACAATTTCTCATAACTTTGTGAGATTTGTTCTCAAAATGCATCTAATAAGCAAATAAATATGGAAATGACATGCGCATATATGCTTCTTATTTTTATTGTCTTTGTGCAGCCCTTATTGTTATTGTGATATGGTCCACATTACAATAATAAACAAAATTTCCAAAGAGGGTAGAAAATTAGAGCAGACAACTATTTTTTCATAAATTTCGCTCATGAGGGCCAATTAAGTTAAAGGGTTACGATCGAAATGATATAGATGAATAAGCAGTGAAATATAAATAGAAGTGAAGAATATAGAAAACGGAGATTAGGAGAATAAAGAGGATGGATAATGAGTGACCCTTGACTTCAATAAAGAGCTCAGGTATTTTACTCGACAATCTGTCCCCAAAAAGCTCATTTTCTGGGGGTGGGAGCAGTATGACTGGAATATGATTCTACAGAAAAATAATGTTTGCCATCTGGATTTAGAAGATTAATAAATGAAACTAGTTAAAATAATTTCAGTTTTTTTTTTTTTTTTGTTTTACGTCACCCAATAAATTTTAACCTGAATTGAATTTTATTAAGGACTTCATACAAGAAAATTTGGTAGCTGAGAAAGAATTTGTCCAGAAAATTTTGTCCATTCGATGATTCAGAATCTGTGAACAGCCAGTTTTATATAGGTTAATTAACCACATCCACAAATCGATGTTAGTTAAGTGAATATAATCTACAATCTGTCTTGCGAACACCAATGAGCGAACTGAATCCTGATTATGAAAAAAAACTTGTAAAAGATAATTCTCAGTTTTCACAAATCTCATTTTGTGAAGTCTGTTCGCTAAATTCATCTGATAAGCAAATCAATGTACAAATAACATTGCGCATATAGCGCTTTGTTATTTGTTATTTTTATTGACATTCTGTGGGTGTTATGATGCATTTTACTTTACGACAGTGACGCAGCTTTCCACGACAAAAAAGACCTCCATATATATTCTAGTTCTTCGTTCCGTCTGATTATAATATTTGTATATCAGGGATGTACGATTGCCTACAGTGGATCTTGAAAAAGTAAAGAACTATAATATATTTACTCTTTTTTTCCATGCACCTAATTGCTTCAGTAGCTATTTTACAGTGACTTCACATTGTTACTGTTGTGGATTCTGGGATATAATCCGGTCTCAAAATGAATGACAAATGCAGGAATGAAATACTGCAAATAAATGTATTAACGTAATAATACAATTGGTAATACGGTTAGTAGATCCAGAAATACGGTTAGTAGCAATAATAATATATATATATACAGTCTGGGAAATTCAGTATCGAAGTATGACTTCCTTCTAAGTCTATGTGCTACCAACTGTGACTCCTACAAAGCGGTTATCTCACACTCTCACTGTATCAGTGTATCTCTCTCTCTAACTCCCGGGTATTCACTGGCAGCAGTGCAAGTACACACTGGTCGAGTCCACTTGTATGAAAAAGGGGTGGACACCATAACAGTTACCATTTGGAAAAATAATTGGTGAGTAAAATCTATCTATCTATCTATCTCATTCTGTGTCCATGCATCTATCTATCTATCTATCTATCTATCTATCTATCTATCTATCTATCTATCTATCTATCTATCTATTTCAAATCACATTATCCCAGTCGAATTTCTTCGAGTCAATGGTAATCAAAGTCGGTCCGGAAGTAAGCGATTGCAAAACACGCCTAGTCTCGCGACCCTATTTTAAAGTGGGAGCAAATAATAGAGAGAAGAGCGCGCAAAAGTACTCTATTCGCGTAATATCCTTCTCAAAAATGAATGATAAGAAAAAGAAGGGAAGCCAGACCTTAAATAACAAAGAGAAAACCTGCACATCGCAGCCTTCCGGTAACGGAAACTACAAAATCACTGCCTTGGAGCAGCCTCACTTTGATAAACCATAATCCGTCAACCACTCAGTCTTCACGTCCGACAGCCGCCCCATCAGCACAGGTAATTTCACTTATTTTTCCATACTATCTATCTATCTATCTATCTATCTATCTATCTATCTATCTATCTCTGTTAATCTCCATCTCTATCTAATTGCTAAATTAACAGACCATCCACTGTGCATCATTAAATAAGTTCTTAAACTTAATAGGAACATATCTTAAGTACTTTATGCCCTGTAACGCTTTGTGGCCTGATTTTCTTTTATGTATAATAGATCTGGACAGAGCGTTCAATGGATCGGCTTGACCGCTTATACGAAACTATCTAGAAATGTAAACTTGCTGACCGCTTATTACCGACGTCAATATTAGGGTAACCGTTCAACAATAACTAACGTATTTTCTAAGAAGCTCTTGCCCAATTCGCTAAACTTGACAAAGTTCAGTAATCATATACAATAATACGGAAGTCCAGGTGAGTAAAACAGTTATGAAAAGGGAATCGGTGAGCCGGGTTCGAATTTTGATTGAGTATATTAACTTTTCCATACTTCGCTTGTTATATTGATAAAGCATTTTCTCATCTCTGTATTCGATATCCAAATATTAGAATATATTACGTGCAAAGGTAGTAGAATTATTTTTCCTTCTATCTCAGTTATAAATTAACTTTAAATATTATTTTTTTATGGCATATCAACCTCAATGGCCTATTTAATGCCGACAAAATTGTTATTGCTGGTATTTTTTTTTCCAAAAATAAATTGCTGGTATACAAATCTATTTTTTTAAACCATAGTATCTGTCTATAGCTAGGATCCTAACAAGTGCTACAAACCCTGATTAGGGTGGACCTGGGAACATCGCCTGATGTGTAGCCTTGCTGCCGGATGTAGTATATCGTTATACCCAGGATATTAGTAAAAGACAAACTAACTTTTCACCTCGCCAAACATAGACCCTTGAATTTTTAAAATCCTAGATTTATATATTTAATTACTTAATATTTATTGTCATTTGGAGAATATATCTATTATACGCCCAAAACAGCAAGAAATTCTATAAAAAGGTAGAAAAGGAAAGCGTGATAAAAGGACTATGCATCAATTGTAAGAAAAGAGAATATATAGTTGTCAGTCAGAGTAAGAGCCCAAGATGCGAATTACGAACTGGAGATGACCAAATCCAGCAAGTACGAAAATTTAAATATGTAGGAAATGTCAGAAAATGTGGCACTGAAAATGGATCTGGTATTTGAATAGCAAAAATGCCTTCCAAATGTTAAGCAAAGTATTAAGAAACAGGAACATTTAATGAGAAAAGACTGCTCAAATCCTATGCAATGTCACTCCTCCTATACAAGAGTGAATACAGGACAATTTCCTCTAAAAAATGACAAAGAGACTTGAAACAACAGAGATGTAATTTCCCATAAAGGGCAATCAGAATACGATAGACAAGGTGAGTAAGGAGCAAGTTATAAGGAATGGAAACAAAAAGAGACAGGTGCAATTTCTGGGACACATAATAGAATAGAAGGATTAGAAAATTTGATACTCAAGGCAGGAGGGACAATAGTAAAGGGCGAGTAATCTACCAAACTTATGTAAATGGATGGTAGAACAGGGCGTGGGAGGGCTTGTAAAATGAGAAATTGTTGTAGAGTGGTTTCACAGTGGAGGCTTGTATTTGTACTAAGTCGGTCCTAAAATAGGTTCGACGTACAAAACGTTAGGAACTTGATATAATAGGTAATGACGCAGTAATCTAGTTGTGGTGGCTGATACTTTAATATCTGACTAACGGTCGTCCGACGTCGACTGACTGAGCCACTCCCTGAGCGACTCCTTCTCCTCCTACGTATTATAGGTGGGAGAGTCTATTAACAATAGAATAGGTGTGTTCCACTATAACTGAAATATTCTTAAAAGTAACAAAGAATAAAATGTTGTGGAGAGCCTCGATTGCCTACATCCCAAATACCGTACATAAAAGAAAATGAATACACTGCTGTAATCCCTGAAAAAATACAATTATCAGTGCAGATAATAGAAAATATTCATTATCTGTCTATATTTCTGAGATTAAGTTTGCAAATATTTACACCATTTACATTGTTCGGTTCAATGTTATCATATTTATTGTCATATTTACGACGTTTCGGTCGTTGTACGCTCCGACATTCTTCACGTGATATACGCTGGGATTTCAAACCTAAACTATTTCCACTACCAGAGTAGATTGTCCTAGTTCTATGTGCCATGGCTTTTCTGGATATCTCAGTTCCAGTTACCTCCCTTTTAGTAACTCAACTAAAATTTTTCTTCACGTGGAACTGGAAAAACCCACCCCGGTGGACTAAATAATACAGTCAACAAAATAATAATGCCGTATAAAGTATGTGATATAAATAAGAGAAAGTAGTAAGGAATGAGGATTATGAGGATAAATCAAAATGATTGTGTCGGGACATAAAGAGGCCAATATCGAAATTTTCAGGGAAGCACTTACGCAGGCGCCTCTTACCCAAAATTGTAAATTTTAAGAAAAACAAAATGAAGAATTTTATATTTAGAAAACAGGAGAAATGAAGATGATTAGGCTCTGTGGTAACGGCATGGTGTTTCGTAGCTCTACAAGTCTGAACCAGTGAAAAAAATGAATGGAGCTTATTTCAATTTTTGTCATAAAAACAACGGTTGATTAGCGAGAGGCTTACAATATTTCGTTTGTGGGCGGGGGGGAAGTTGCAGGGTGTAAATTAAGTCATCTTTCACAAGACCACGTAAACGCTTTTTGAAGTCTATCAAGGATGGAAATTTGGTGATTGAAAATTTCCAGCACAGATTTGGCAACTGTCACAACGTAGCAAGTGGGTATGTAATAACAACGACAACGCAATCTAGTTTGGTGACTTCCGTCTACAGAGGCGATACTCCTGCTTTTTATTCAAACGTATGCAATATGGCTGATACAGTACTTCCGTTTCTGAACAATAGCTGAAACTGTGCTTCCGTTTCCTTAGTTCCCATTACAACAGCAACAATACCCCTTTTTTTAAGCCTAACCTGACTGTTGTAGAGATAAATTAAAAAGAGCTCGATAATCGTTTGAACGATAGAATGGTTTGATGTATTTTTTAAATGTACTCTGCAAATATTTTAGGGCTTATTTTTTGACAATATTCATTCTCCCCGTGATATTTCAGCTCATCATCGAGGCATTCTTAGCTTACAACACCTTTCATCTCTTTTTTCTTTCATAGTCTCGAGCTATTTTCAATGTTGGAATGTTTAATATAACAATCAGTAAACTTTTTTTCTGTTTATTTTTTTTACCGCTTGTTCTTCGTTAACTTTTAACAGAAACTGTTTTGTTTAATTTGCTTAGAAATAGGACGTCAGGTTTTTACTCCAAACTTGTAAAAACCTATTATTTCTAAAACAAGTGTATAATACATTATTCTTGGATAATCTAATTTTGCTAAAATACCTGCAACCGAATTGTGTCTGTGTTTTCTTAATTGTTGAGATTGTACCCTTTATCTCCCTTTATCCCGAAAATAGAAATTAAATAAAACGGACAACTGCTTCTCCGTCTACAGCCCAGGATTTGAAAAGCTTGAGCGACTTTTAAATTTGATTTAATATTGACGACGAAGGCGCATCAATAAGGTCGAAGCCTCACATGATGTTAGCTGAATTAAAATCGGAAATACCGAACTCTGTCACGAACAGTTGTAACTGAATTATGTGCATTGAAAAAGAAAGAGATTATTTTAAAAAACAAAATATTTATATGCAAAATAAATGTTGCCTTTTGATTATTAATCTGCGTATTAATTAGAATATGCAGTTAGTGTATACGTAAGCATATACACAATAGCAGGGCAGACTGAGCTCTCTAACCGTGGTTGCCGACCAGTCTAGGAGTAAGACAACGATGAATTGAAAAACATAAAACACAATCAACTGAAGCTTCACAAAGGTTAATACTTGGGCTGCAATGTGTGGGTTATCTCACTTGGCTTAGCCAAACTCCTTTAGGCGGCGTTTTTTAAGTCTATAAACGTCTAACATTTCCTTCCACGTGCTTCAAGATGTAGCAACACACAGATAATGAACGTTACCGCTGGAACGCGTTAGTTTTCCCTGGTTCACTGATAATGAATTCTTACACACACGCACATAAAAGCATATGTGTATCACACACGCTTGAATGATACGTTCAAACAAACAGATTCTTAATAGCATAGTTTTTAATATCTTTTCCGTTACTTTCAATTGTATATACATTTAATTCTTTTTGTTAATAAGATGCATTTTATTATCGTTTGTTTTAAAATGTTTTCCCTCTTTTTTTTTAACCGGAATCACCTGAGACAGTTAAATATTTTTTTGCGGGACAAATGTTCACGGAACGATTAAAAATTTACTAAAATATCGTTCACACCTGGCAACCTGAGAGGTAACACCTATAAGAAATGTCTGTAAAAATAAAACACGATAGATTTCAATAGGTATGGATTATCCCACCTGAGAACGATTAACCCAGCCTACTTTTATGACCAGCGAGCATCAGGTGCAAGGATGGCGTCATTACTTATTGATGTACATTGAATTGCGTTATTTTAATGTATAAAATGTCCACTTTGTAAAAAATGGCCAACTGCACTTATCCAGACACGCCGTATATTAGGCATTCTGAAAATAAGTTGGACGATATTTCAAGATTATACAAGAATTTGTTTAGTGTTTCTCAAATGTATCTGGCACTTTACTTCTAATTTTAATTTGTATAGTTTACAATTGACCGCCTTTTCGAATTTGTTTTATTTTAATGTATAAATTGTTCACTTTGTATTTGTTCTAATACTTTTAATTTAAAAAAAATAGGAAAAAATGTTTCGTGACGCAAACGATAGATTAACAATCCAGCACCAAAAATCCAAGTCATTGGTAGAAGAATATGAGAAATAAGTTAAAGAAAAATGACCACCTCTACTTATTTTCACACACCTGACATTAGGCAAATTGAAAGTAAGTTATCTTGGATGTTATTCCAGGATGATTACTTAACGTGAAATGCTAAGACAGGATTTGTTCAGACGCATCTAATACTCATATGATAAGGGTAGTTGTAATGTTGGTTCATAGCAAATCGAGTAATGAATGCCGTATTGAACGGGCATG